CATACCGAACAATACTTGCCACAACTTTGCGAAAAAAAACGGCAAAATTAGCTTCAGATGGCGGGGGAGCCGCCGAATTTGTGAGGCTGTTGGGAGGGAGAGCTGATCCCCCCCCAGCCCCAAGGAGAGCTGGAGCTCTGCCTCCTGCCCGCACCACCCCGGCGTGCTCTGCTGCCCGCGCGGGGCTTGGGTTACGCGGCGGCGGCGTCCTCCTCGGTGGAGGGAGCCCGGTGGTTTTGGCAGAGCGAAAGGGTTAATGCTGCGATGTTCTGTCAGAATTTGGGCGGGGGGGGACACGGGGGGGACGGGGACGGGCATCTGGCTGTTTAATTACTTTCTGATCCGTGGCGTACCTTGTTGATGAAGCAGTCGCGCACAGAACAAACGTGCTGTGTGCGCTTGGGTTAAAAGAAAAGCGGGCTGAGTTTCGCTTGGTTTTGTCAGCCCGAATGTTTGGGTTTGAACGTGTTTACGCAGGAGGTAGGAACCGGGGCGGTGAAGAATAGCCGCAGGGTGGTGGAGAGGCAGCAAGAGAGGCAGGCGAGGAAAATACACCGTGGTTTAAGTTGCAAACCTGCCAGTGGCTTTTATTAATTTCCATACATTCTGCACTTCATCTCGTATTGATTTGCTTCAAAACTTTCCTTGTCAAGCCGAAGTAAATTCCCTCATGGAAGCAGGAGGAATGAGAGACGTTCCTCTGCCTACCTCGCAGTTTCCAGCCACCCTTCGTCCTCAGCAACTGCACTTTTGTGTGCGGGCGAGGGTGACATGCCTGAGAAGCCTCTGTCATCATGCACAATTACATCCCTAATCCCAAGCAAAGACACAGATGCTGTTTCAAAAAAAAAAAAACCAACAAAAAAAACCAAGCGATGTTTCGTTTGACTTTCAAAGAAGCTTATGTAATGGCAGCATAATAAAACCGTTATTTTGGGGCTCGGATTAAATGTCAAAGTTTCAGATAACCCGTGGTTTTGTCTTCCACGTGCCGTGCGCGCAGGAAGCCACCACCAGCCTCCGTGTGCCCGCTGCTCTGCCGGAGGACGGTCCCGGTGCCCTGTTGGGCACCGAGCTCCAAGCTCAGCTTGCCCAGGCAGAGGCCTACGGCTGCGCGGCGTGGGGATTGGCCGCCGGGGCTGGGACCACCACGGCCGCCTTGCCCTGCGTCAGGTTCCTTTTTAGTTACAGTTGTGGTGTGAGGCTGGTAGGTGACGCCCTAAGCCTTGGAGATCGTACGCTTCCGTAAGCGTTTAAGGCAGTGTTATAATTCACTGGCTTGTTAACCTGAGAAAATAATCTAGCCGCGGTATAGTGCTTCACAAAAGGATTGTGTAAGTGCTCTGAGATTTGTACATGTTTTCATTCTTGCTTATCTGCTTATGGCAAGCTTCTTTCAGTTATCCAAATCGTCTCGGCACTCTACCCTGCCTACTGACACAGTTGCGCTTCCATCTGGATGAAATGCATGCGAACATAATGTATTCCTTCCAGTACACGCTGAAGGAGATCTCAGTAGGAAAGACAGAGAGAAGGAGCTCTTCCAAAAACGTTCACATGTAACGCTGGAAATCTTCAGCCGGGTCTGCTGGGTGGGTTGGTTCTTCGTTTCTTAAAGCAGATTCAAATAGAACAGGAACGGGGAGCCGTTAGACCTGCCGGTTTCCATGGGGTGATTTTTGCCCGTGTGAAATAAATGTAACTCCGTGCTGTCCCACATTTCACGCGCAGCAGCGTCGGTCCCTCCCCGGGGCGATGGTCTGGGTGCCGGCGTGGTCTGGGAGGCAGCGCTTTGGCCCGTCGTGCCCGCGTCTGTCACGCACGCATCAGCCGGTGGAGCTCTCGCTGATAGTTTACTTGGCAGCAGTCTGGACAAAAAGGCACATTTAGTTTTCCCTTAAAAAAAACCCAAAACACCGATGCGTTGCTCTTCTCATTAGTTTCTCCCCCTCGTTGCCGTTTTTCTGGCAAGTGGCGCTGCAGTGACACGACTCCTGGTGTTGCCCACAGCCCAGAGGGCTGGAGCGGCTCTCAGCCCTGCGGACAAGGGCCGGCAAAGTAGCCCCCTGCTCTCGGCGTTAGTCCGACTTACTCAAACAGTGCCCCGGACCAGTAGCATTTCTCCTGTAATACTCCATGTGAGATGTTCCAGTCCCCAAAATACCCCACACCAGCTCCTCGGAGTTCCCTCAGCCAAGCCCCGTGCTTGTCCAGCTCAGCAGCATCAGCAGTTTCGCTGTGAGCAGCGGTACCTGTGGTGTCCTGTGGCAGGGGAAAACGCTCCGATCCAGATGTAGCGAAGGCATTTACGGCGTCTGACAGCCCCTCGGTAAAAGGATCGCCCGGCCGCTGTGCTTAAAGGCGACACAGATGTTGGCTGGTAGCCCTGGGAGGTTCTTGGGCAGAAGGGGGATTTTGGTAAGGAGAAGGGCTTTGCTGCGGCTCCTTGAAGTTTCAAACCCAAGCCCTCCAAGCCTGGCCATCTCACGGCGCGGCAGCAGAAATAAAACACTGCTTTGTGCCCTGAGCACCCGCTCCCCCCACCGGCGCTTTTCCAGAAACCGCCTGGGTAGCCGAAAAAGATAGCTGAGATATTTTGGTACAGTCCTAATGTAATCAGTGCCCTTACGGAGTGGTAAATGGAGGCGTGGAAATTTCTAAGTTGACTTGTCCAAAAATGAACCAGTTAAGCCCCAGCAGAGCAATAAATAGGATATAAAAATCGAGCTTCTGCAGCCCTTGGTGGTGATCGTTCCTTTCCTCACCTCCGCCTGGACAATGTGTTGTTGTGAAATGAGGGAAAAGCAGCACCTGAATACACGTATTTTTAAGGGAGGTGAGGTGTGTGTCAGCCGTGGCGGAGCAGGGTCTACAGCTGTTTCATCCCCTGTGTGCTGGTCCTTCCACACTGGCTCCAGCCCCACATCCCAGAGCGTCCTGTGGGATGCAGGGATGCGCTGGGTATGGTTTTACAAAGTAAGCTGAGCTTCACCGGTCCCACCTTGAAGCCTTTTGGTAGTTGGTCACGTAACAGAATGTATGCCTGTATGCTAAAGAGGTCTTTGGTGTCCTGCTCTTTCTGTGATTTTCCAGTAATCCTTTTTTTTTTAGTGCCTCTCTGTTTGGACTTGTCTTTCTGAGGTGGTCACAATGGTAAAGTCATTCTGTAAAAAAACAGATCGAGTGCCAGCGTGCGTTTGCGGAACGAAATCCCGGCCCTCCTGCAGGCAGGGGAAGACATTACCGCTGGCTTGGGTTTGGCTCCTAAGATGCCAACCAAACCGGTGGAAGAAGCCGGCAGCCCCGGCTGATTTGGTTGAAAGGCGGCCTGTGTCGCTGAGGATCGGCACGGAGGAGACACGTCCCCATGAAGCCACAGGTGGCTGCAGTGGGGGTGTCCATCCCCGTCCTGGGAGCGAACCTCGCCGCGTTTTCCCTCCATCCGGGGCAGAACTGCAGTCGCACTCCCAGAGGGACACCTGGCCCTTGGGCACACCTTGGCCCTGCGTTGCCACCATCCCCTGACGTTGGTCGGACGAGCTGAAACCACGTCTCGGTGCCCGTCACCCTGCACAGGAACCCGCTGCCGCCGGTGTAAAAGCCACGCTCCTTCTTTTTCGCAGGTATTCGCCCTCAGATCATGAACGGCCCCATGCACCCCCGGCCCCTGGTGGCGCTGCTGGACGGGAGGGACTGCACGGTGGAGATGCCCATTTTGAAGGACTTGGCGACGGTGGCGTTCTGTGACGCACAATCAACTCAGGAGATTCACGAGAAGGTAACGTGAGCGGCGCGGGCGCGGGCAGGCCGGGGGGCGGCGTGCGCCTGGCCTCCCTCTTCCCGGTCTTTTTGAGCAAAAAAACTCCACAAAGCTGCACTTTGCGTCGATGAGCCCGTGACGTCAACAGAAGTCGCTGCAGATTAAAAATTCATCGAGGCTGTTTTAGAAGCCAGATGTTATTTTGGAAAAAAAAAAAAAAAAAGTCAATTTATCTCTTCGCATCAGGTTTTTTACATCAATATTACTAAGGTTTCTCATTTTTTTGCACCTCCTCGGGGTGCAGGGCAGTTGCTCTGGCTTGGCTAACGCCGTCCCGTGCTGCAGCGGTTGGGTCTCCTCGGGTGCTGGCTGCACCTCAGCAGCTCGTTTCTCCCCAGCAGCGAGCGGGTGAGGTTTGGGCAGCGCGCAGCCAGATCTCTGCCGTGTGGATGGGTGTTTCTGCTTGGAAGCTCATCTGCTTGTAAATACTTTTAAAATCATTCTTTGTGCACGTTTAGATAAACGAGGTTTGAAGTGATCGGAAATCCCTTCCAGGATCTGGGAAAGAGAGCTACAAATAGCGTCAGTGCTGATCTTTGCAGTGCTTCGGGTGTTAAATGCAGGGGAAGGAGGACGGAGGGGTTTAATGAGACACTGATAGGTGATAGGTGAGCTGATCTCGGAGAATTCGGATCGGTTTTGGATTTCCAGAGCACCAAAGTAGCTTATGGTGAGCACCAGTGGAGGTCTGAATCACCACTGAAGGGAATGGAGTGCAGCCTTATGTGGCTGTACAACCTCACACCAATCTTTTTAGGTGCTCTTGAAAACCTACAGGAAAGGGTAATGTGATAGTGTGACAGGTATTCGTACTTCCAGCACACAAAAGAAGGTCGAGGAGCTGCGAGTGACACACAGTTGTGTTCAAAAACAATAGATATCGCCGTAAAAGGTAATTCCTTTTTAAAAGCAGGGTTGCTGCTGGTTGGAAGCAGGAGGATTAGCAGATAACCGCCTGGAAAAGGGTCCAGGGGAGCAACTGGCTCAGTTTTCCTCTGCCTCCTCTCCCCAGATGTAACGTCACGATTTTCAGATATTCATCCAGTCTGTTCCCAAACGGAATGGCCTCGGTGCCGGTGGGTCACGCTCTCGATGGTTTTGGTGACATGTGGAAGTGTCGGCTTGCGCCGTGCCTGGGTCAGACAGTAGGTCAGCGGGAAAAATGTACAATTCACCGTGTAACATCCCTGGTTCAGGAGCTGCAGGTGGCCCCTGCAGGTGTCCCGGCGGCTCCTGACGTCTCCGTTCTGTTCCAGGTATTAAACGAAGCTGTCGGGGCGATGATGTACCACACCATCACGCTGACTCGAGAGGATCTGGAGAAGTTCAAGGCCTTACGGGTCATTGTTCGAATAGGCAGTGGCTACGACAACATTGACATCAAAGCCGCGGGGGAGCTTGGTAGGTCTCAGCTCTGCAAGCGATTCCCTCCCGCATCCCTCCCGAGTCTTTCAAGTCAGCCCCAGCACCTGCTGGCAAAGCGACGTGGCAGGCAGGACCTCCCAAAGGGGGGTGGTTGAGCCCCTAAAATTACAGGTAGAGTTTTTTGCATGTAGAGACTGTTACGACAAGAAAACTTGACCATGAAGTAGATGAAATGGTGCCGGTTTAGAAGGCAGCTTTGAGGCTCCTACTGTGTTAAAACTGCCCCGTCTGAGCCCCTCGTTCCCACCCTGTCCCTAGCTCCCGGTGCCCCCTCGTACCGATGGATATTTGTGTGGCTGTTCTGTTTCTGGCACAGGAGAGTCCATCTAGCTTTAGAAAATTTGGAGGAAGGTGGTTTATTATATTTTGTGAAGCAGGATGAGTCCCTCGGTCTGCTCTGGTTCTCAGAGTCATGCCCGCAGTGCTGGATGGTGGAGCAGGAATTGTGCCTTGGGTTGTTGCTGCCTCCTGTGCCACCTCACCGAAGGTGCCTGAGGGACCTGGAAGGGGACATTTGCTCTGGGTACATGTTAGGTGGACTCCCAAAATACGGAGGGTCACGTGGTCAGACAGCAGCCCCTGCGTCCAGCTGCGGGGTTTTTCTGCACCCCTGGGCTCGGGGGGGTGGGGCGTGCGTGCAGGCTGCATCGCGTGGCTGGCGTACGGTGCTGGGGCCACCCCATTTCCATACTGGTTTGGGTGGTCACGGAGACCTTTGGCTGCCCGCCGCCAGCTGCAAGAGCTTGGTCGTATCCGTGATTTTAGCAGCTGGGTAGCAACCGGTTTTGATCATCTGATCCCAAGATTCAGTCTATCCAGCCGTCCTGCAATAGTGTTGAGGGTATCTTGTATTAAAGGTTATCTCTGGGGAAGGGAAGAATAACAGCCATTTCACGTGAGCTGTTTTACGAAGATAATTGTGATAAGAGAGTTTCAAATAGTCATTCCTAAAAAAGCAATTCTCAATATAGTGAATTATTTTTCGAGAGGAGAACGGTGTCTTCTCAATCTAATGGTTTCTCCATGTTTTTAACTCTTATTGTTATTATCCATTATAACAATGTTCCGAGGCTTTGAACATCAAGAAAGGAAAAAATATAACGAATAAAGTAATGGGATACTGCAGTATAATCCTTCTTTTTATGCTTGGCAAATTGGGTGGCCAAATGATGTGGTTTCAAGTAGAAAATGTAATGACTACCCACAAATGTAGCGTAAAGTTTAATTGGTATTGCTTTTCACAAGGTAGTTTTTAAACTGTGCAGTCAACAAATGACCAGTGTCTAAACACAGCGCCTGGCCAGGCGCTAGCAGCTGCCTGCGCCTTACTGGCCGGGCTGGCGGGACCAGTTTGGACCCACTAGAAGAACCCCCCCGGGAGCAAGATGCTGGTGTTGAACCTTCCGCTGTGGGTGTTTATAACCCCCCGGTGGCGGCAGCTCCTGCTCGGGGGGCCAGAAGCGTAAATCACAGCGGGAGAAGCTCACGGGAAAGGCAGCCCCGTGCCCTCCAGCTCCGTGAGCGAGCGGTCCTCCCAGCAGGGTTGGGGATGGGGGCCCTGGGCAGAGCTGCAGGCCGATGGGGAGCGCTGCCGGGGCGGCCAGTCGCCCTCCGGCCTTCTTG